AATAAATTTAGCCAGAGAAACAGACAACCTATAAAAAGAAAACTAGAAAACACTACTATAAGAAACCAAAAGACTAATAAAAATGGAAGAATATTTCATACTCATGAATAGGAAGTCTTAACATTGTGAAAATGTCAACACTACCCAAAGCAATATGCAGTTATAACCCAGTCTCAATCCAAATCCCAACATCATTCTTTACAAATACAGAAAAAAAATGATCACTAATTTTATATGGAAAGAAAGGAGACCTCGAATAAGCAAAGCAGTGCTTAAGAAGAAAACAAAGTTGGAGGCCTCTCACTCCCTGATCTCAAATTTGACTACAAAGCCATAGTGGTCAAAATAACTTGATACTAGTACAAAGGGGCAAAACACATTAAATGGGAAAGAGAGAGTGTTTTCAACAAATGATGTTGGCTAAACTGGAAATCCATTTGCAGAAAAAGTGAAGCAAGACCCATTGCTGTTGTTGTTAAATGCTGTCAAGTCAGTTCCTAATTACAGCAACCCTTTATAGGGTTTCAAGGAGTGGCTGATGGATTTGAACCACCAACTTTGAAATTCAAACTGACCTTGCAGTTCAGTGCTTTATCGTACAGCACCACACTGGGACAAAAACAAACTCAACATGGATAAAGACCTAAATGTAAAACCTAGATCAATGAAAAAATAGAAACAAACATAGGGGCTCCCATATATGGCATAAATACACTATCTAGCATTACAGAAAACACACAAACGATGGAAAACAAATGTATGATTGGAACCTTCTAAAAAGTAAACATTTATGTGCATCAAAAGATGTTGCCAAAAGAATAAAAAGGAAGCTCGCAGACTGGGAAAAATTTTGCAATGACATATCAGACAAGGGATTTGATCTCTAAAATTTATATAAAACTACACAATCTCTACAAGAAAAAGATAGGCAACCCAGCTGAAAAATGGACATGGACGTGAACAGACACTTCACCAAGGAAGACATTTAGGCAGCCAACAAACACAATGAAGAAATGTTCGCAATTACTAGCTATTAGAAATGCAAATCAAAACAACAAAGAGAAATCACCTCACCTCAGCATTAATAACAAGTTCAAAAATACAGAAAACAAATGCTGGCCAGGATGTGGAGAGACTGGGACCCTCCTAAATTGTTGTTGGGACTGTAAAATGATTCAACCACTTTAGTAAACGGTATGGCATTTCCTCAAAGTTGGAAATAGAAATACTGTATGATCCAGCATTCCCTTTACTTATAGATCCACAAGAAATATGAGCCAGGATATGAGTAGATATCTGCACATCAATGTTCATCCATTCCAACACTATTCACAATAGCAAAAAGATGGAAACAGCCTAAGTGGCCATCAATAGAAGAATGGATAAGCAAACTTTGATACATACATACAGCGAATACTATGCAATGTTGAAGAATAGCAATGAATCTGTAAAACACCTCTTATCTTGGATGAACCTGAAGGACATTGTTGGTGTTAAGTGCTGCCAAGTTGGCTTCAACCCATAGCGACCCTGTATAGGGTTTCCAAGGAGCAGCTGGTGAGCTTGAACCACCGACCGTGCAGTTGAAACAACTTTGCAGTCTGACACATTAGCCCACAGTGCCACACCAGGAGGGCAATAACACTAGTATGCTCTCCATGGAATGGTCAATTATTTAAGATCAAAAAGCCAACATTTTCCTTAGGACAAAGTTAAGAAGGGTTGGGAAGTTTGGTGGAATAGAAATAGGACTGGCAGGAAAGAAGCAGGATAACTGTTGTTGCCTGGAGGGTCTTGCAGTCCTTGAGATGAAACCAAGTGTATGATTTGTTGATTATAAAACTGATGATCTTGTCTGTAAGCCTTCACTCAGCTCATAATGGTTTAAATAAAAATATTTTTAAAAAGATGAGGCTTTCTGCTCCCATGAAAAATTAAAGCCTCAGAAACCTTATACAGGGTTGTTGTGTATGAGTTAGATCTGATTCGACAGCCTATAACAGCAAAGGAGCCTGTGGCACAGCAAATTAAGTGCTTAGCTATTAACTGAAAGGTTGATGGTTTGAACCTAGTTAGCTGCTTTTGTAAGGACTTTCTGTTATTTTTGTGTACCTTAGTGACCAGAAGTAATAGAACCTCAATTATTAATTTTTAGAGAAATAGAGCAAAATATTTAGCGACCCATATGGAATAGAGCAGATCTGCCCTGTCGGATTTCCTAGGCTACAGTCTGTACAGGTGCAGATTGCCCGGTCTTTGTCCTGTGGAGCCACTGATGGGTTTGCATCACTAACTTCAGTTAACAGCTGAGCACTTAACCATTCAGCCTCCAAGAATACTCTAGCAATTCTGCATGGAGATAAGTCAGAAGTTAACAGCAGCAGTATTGCCTATCCTTCAATTAGTGTAAATAGACATGTGTTGTGCTGAATTCTGGGGCTGTAGAGATTAGTAACACAGATACCCTTGTATCTCTGAGTCTTTTATTGAGAGAAGGAGCACAGATCGGTTTCATAGAATTTCTTACAGTGCTCATAGTATCTGTTTCCTGTTACGCATACACATTTTTAAAACACACTGGTTCACCTTAACTTTTGATACTTATGGCAATGTCTTAACACAAAATTATTTAGCTGCCCACAAAACCTTTTAAATTGTACATGTGTCATTTATTTATACATTTTTACCATAAAGCATGGGCAGCTTGTCCTCTGACAGCAGGTTGATTTAAATGATGTTTATGGAAAACAAGAAAGTAAATTCACTGTGATTACATTTTCAGAATTCTAAATCCATTTTCATTGTTTAGCATAATCCATGTTATAGTTTTCTATGCTTAAGGCTAATTGCAAAATGACTGTTTTAGTCCATCAATTAAACATTCAGTTTTTAGGTAGGATGATTTGAGGATTTAGAAGTAAAAAATATATCATGTAGGCATTGAAGATCCATTTGAAATTGGAACAGTATACAGTCATACCCCCCATACGCACACAACTTCAGACATTTCAGTGAAATGGAAACATACTCTGTAAGCAAAATATGACACTAAATGTCTAATATTATCTGATAGACAGCACTTCAATTTTACCTTTGGACCTGATCTCTTGTCATTTTTGAGTGAAACAGACTCTAAATTGTATGTGTGTAAGCATATAAAGGAGTTCTGGTGTGGCGATGTGGGTTAATGCGCCAGACTGCAAAGACATTTTAACTGCAAGGTCGGCGGTTCAAGTTCACCGGCTGCTCCTTGGAAACCCTATACAGGGTTGCTGTGGGTCGGCATCGACTCGACAGCACTTGACAACAACAACAAACATATAAAACAAATCCGTTTTCCATTCTAATTCAGTGTGGAGTGTTTCATGTCATGGGTTCAGTCCCTTCATTTTGTCAGCGTTGTCCCCATGTCTGCCATGGGTTCCTTGTTTCCAGTCACCCCACCTTTTGCCCCTTTCTGCCTTCTGAATTTTACTTTAGAGCAAACACTGAATTTTTGGTCTCGCATAGTTGAGTGTTCTGAAGAACCCATTCCTCAAGGGTGTAATTGGTCACTTTATAGGCCTGTCTTTGTGGTTTGCCATCTCAAGAACTTTTGTATTGGGAAATACAGGTGGAAAACTTATAGCTACAAAAACAACTTGGTAAAAAGCTAACTTAATAAGTTACACTTCCTTTTTTCAGTTATAATATGACTTCAGAGTAGGAATGTATCCTGAGAATTGATGAGCAGAGTTTTGGCATTTGTCAAAGGTTATCCAGAGGGACAGGATTCCAATATGAAGTGTGTCAAACTATTGGCTACAATTAGTTGAATTTGTTGTGGTTCTTATGGCAGAGTCCTTACATCCCTACTGTGGTTCATTAGTAGCCTTTTAAACAGTCTACCCTAGAAATGGGGAGCTTATATAAGTTAAACATCTAGAAAAAGAGGTAGCTGATGAGATTTCAGAACATCTCTCATTTAACAGAATGCTTTGAAGGTCCTTAAATTAACTTGTTTTGGAAGAAATGAATGGCACCAGAAGTGGACTGAAGGAAGGGGTTTTTATAAAAAGAATTAAATAATCAAGATTGGAAAAGCACTAAAGACTAAGCACTGTTTATGTATATCTGCAAATGAATGTAAAGAAAGAAAACTTGGTTGAGAGCATGTGCTCGTATGGTTGTTGTTATGTGCCGTGGAATCAGTTCCGACTCATAGCGACTCTGTACAGGGTTTCCAAGGCTGTAAATCTTTACGGGAGTAGAATGCCTCATCTTTCTCCCTTAGAACAGCTGGTAGTTTCGAACTGCTGACCCTAAGGTTTGCAGCCTGATTGGTAACCACTACGCTACCAGAGCTTTGTGCTGGTATGGTGCTGCGGGTTAATGCACTCAACTGCAAAGTCGGTTTGAACCTCAAGATTGGTGGTTCAAGCTTAACAGCCACCCCTTGGAAATCCTATGCAGGGTCGGTATGAATCAGAACTAACTCAACAACACTTTTATCAGAGAAGAATTTTAGATGAGGTCAATCTTATATTGGATTTAGGCAAAATGAAAAAAAAAATGCCTTGTTAGGTGGAAGGGAAAAAAATACGTTGGTACATGCAGGTGGGAAAACTTACAGTTGTAAAAACAACTTGATAAACTAACTTTCTTAGTAGAGAAGGCAAGCAGGTGTGTAAAACAGACTTCTTTAGGCTTAGGTTTAAAATCATAATGTCATCTTTTAAAGTTTGATATTTGCATCTCCTTGCCCTCACCCCCAGTTAAATACTTGATCAAGTTCTTTTACAAAAGAACTAACTAGGGAACTTCGCATTAGATCGTCTGGATGCTTGCTTAGTAAGTAGACTTAGCATCATAAGTAAGGTTTTCTTTCTGTATTCAGCAGTCCAATAATAAATATTCAATGAATGATTCTTCTTAGAGAGCTAACTAATAATCAGTGTTGAAAGCATATAATTACAGTTTGCCACAGTGTTAAATGTTTATGGTTTGCTTTCTTTTTGTAGAACACAAAGTAATTATAGTGGGACTGGATAATGCAGGGAAAACCACCATTCTGTATCAGTTGTAAGTATGGTTGTTTATTTAACTGTTTTTATTATTTCAGTTATTGAAACTAATTTTGTATAAGTAATAAAAACAGGATATCATTACAATACAATGAAAAACTTAAACAGGGTTTTGTATAAATTTTGCCAAACATAAACTAAAAGTAAATGAGATAAAATAAACTGCTTTGTTTACTAAAGCTTTCACAAACACACATCTTTTTTCATCCTAGGCAGAAAGAATTAATAACTGCACAAAATAAAGAAAGCTTACATTATAATGCTGAGTGAGACGATAAAATGCATTTCACTTTGTTCTTCCTGTGCTGTGGATTGGTATCTCTAGGAAGCTCTCGTTCCTCTTCTGACTAGTAACTTGAGCATTATTTGACATAGCCAGACTTGTCAAACCAAAGGAATAAAGGTCACTCTCTGAAATACTTTCCACTGCATGTAGTTAGGAGAGTCTTGAGACTTTCAGAGAAATACCTTAATACTCAAAGGAAACTTCGACTGCCCCAACAATCTATTTGTAGAAAATACATCCCATTATCCTTCAGAGCCAAGGAAGTGACCCTTGTTAAGCCATGGAAAAATGGATCTTATGTCCCAAGAATGTTAGCAGATAATTACAGAATGCTCTGCACAGTTGTATGGCTCTTCTCTCTTCTGAGCTTAGTTTGTGTTAGAAGTTCATCAGCCTGACAGCTGTCCACAGAGCTTCACATATGCAACGCTTAACAAACACAGTGTTCAGCCGCTTTGCTAGAAAGCTGAAGGTTTGAGGTATGTCATTTAAGAAGTGAATAAATTCTTTAAAATATTTTTATTTATTGAACATTATGTATGACTTAGCTTTCAAACATCAGATATGCATAGTTAAGAAATGTGATGGTACAGTGATTAACTACCTGACTGCTAACTAAAAGATCAGCGGTTCAAACCTACCAGCCTCTCTGTTGAAGAAAGATGTGACAGTCTGCTTTCATAATTATTGCAGCCTTGGAAACCCTGTGTGGCTGGTGTACTCTGCCCTATAAGGCTGCTATGAAATGTAATTGACTTAGCAACAAAGCTTTTTGTGTGTAGCTTCACAGGTATATATAAAGCCCAAAAGAGATTCACAAGCCTCTTCCCACACACCATATATATGTGTGTTTTTGCAAATGCACCCACACAGAGTGTGCATTGTAGCACACTTATGAAAATAGCACAGGGTGGCTTAAACAGTGGGCAAAAATATGACATGTGTGTTATTTGCATAAAAATAAGGCAGGTAAATAATTTTGGGGATGAATTAATGTAATTTCACCAATGATTATGATAACACATGTGGTATGTGCATCATATTCTAAATATGTGTATATATTGAAAGTTAATTTTAGTTAACATTTGTATTTGCTCATGGCCTTATTTTTAAAGACTGTTGCTTTGTTCCTTCCAGTCTGTTTTAACTCAGAGTGTAGTAGAGCTGCCCCATAGGGTTTCCTAGGCTGTAGCCTTTATAGGAGCGTATCACTGGCTTTTTCTCCCATAGAGCTACTGTGTGGGTTCAAAGCACCAACCTTTCAGTTAACTATTTCACCACCAGGGCTCCTCTTTCTAAGAGTTGTTGTTAAATGCCGGCAAATCGCTTCCCACCCATAGTGACCCTGTATAGAGTTTCCAAGGAGCTGCTGGTGAGCTTACAGTTCAAATAGCTTTGCAGTCTGGCGCATTAACCCACAGCGCCACACCAGTAGTACTGGTTAATAGGCTTGAATTTTCATGGTTGTGCTCTCAGTTTTCAGCACATAGAAAGTCTTCATAATTATGGATGGCCTGTGTGCTTTGGTTGCAACTTCACAAGTATTAAGTGTTTCTGTCACCTGAGAACCTGCTCTTTCTGGATGAACATTGCTTCAGGTCTAGCTAATACCAAGGACATGTTGTTATTAGAATATTTGGCCACAGAAATGTGAGCTCATAATCAGAGCATTCCTTCTATCCCCAACATTTAAGTGCGCAGATTATCCCATAAAAAATAACAGCAACAAAAACTCCTTTAGAAGTTGTTTTTTGTCTAAACATTTATTGCATAAATTTTCTCCAGGTGTATTTTTGTTACTAATCATTACCATCTTTGGCACAAGTAAATGGAAAGGTTGATTCATCTTAAAAATAGATAGTGAAAATGTGTGTCAGTTTTAAATGATGTCTGTCTTTTTAACAGCTTAATGAATGAAGTGGTTCATACGTCTCCAACCATAGGAAGCAATGTTGAAGAAATAGTTGTAAAGAACACTCATTTCCTTATGTGGGATATTGGTGGTCAAGAGTCACTGCGATCATCGTGGAACACATATTACTTAAACACAGAGGTATACTACTGTTACTTTGGGGGTTTAACAGAAAGAACCAAAACATAAACCCAGAAAATAGATAAGCTGTACATAAGGCATGTTCACAGTTGTCTTTTTAATAACATGGTTTTTAGTAAAGAATTTGGGATATCCAAATAAAGGAAGAAAAGCGAGTAGAAGGAGTAATGGATCGTAATGTTACTGAAGTGCTAACTGTTGACTCAGTTCATCCTCACATTAACACTAACATATCTCTCAGTGATCTGACACTAACAAAAATTATATAGACTGAGTTCAGATCTCATACTTTATAAGAGCCCCTTATTAGGGGAGGACAATTTGTTTTGTTGTTGTTGTTTTTGTAAGACCAATGATTTATTCATTACAAATACTTTTTGAAACAATATAAAAGATGACTATACCCATAGACCTCACCAGAAGACGTGCACAGAATTCATTTTAAATTATTTGAAGACGGTAGTTTTTGTGTTCTTTGAACTTCTTGGCACTTCTAAAGTTGATGAGAAAAGAAAAAAAAAATCTGAGTTGGCATTCCTTTTTTTTTAAGGACAAATATTTTAAGCGTAATGTTATTATTTTTTTAAATTGAATTTTCAGGTCATTTCCCAGAATTCTCTGTCACTTAATTTTATTATTTTACTAGTTACAGTATGAGTTTTGGAACAAATCTTGACTCTCTCCTATGTCACTTTTAATTTCTTCTTAGAAGCATTTTTTTAGACCACGCATTGCAGTTGAGAGGTTTATCTATGAACATGCTAATGCACAATTGCATCCAAATAACTTTTCTTTGCAAAGGGATTGTTGTTGTTAAATGCTGCCGAGCTGGTTCTGACTCATAGTCACCCTGTGTAGGGGTTTCTGAGGAGCAGGTGGTGGATTACTGCTTTCCTTGTGGTTTGCAGTCCTGTGCTGATCCTATAGCGCCACACCAGAATTATTTATAAAGCAGTTTTTTTTTTCCCTTAAAAATGGAAGGTTTGCTTTTTTGAGGGTATGAGGAGTGGGAAGTCTGTGATGCAGGGAATTATTGGTGGCTAAAGTTCTCACTGGAGTCCTGGTGTGGTGCTATAGGATATGCATTGGATGGCAAGGTCAGCGTGAACTGCAATGCCAGTAGTTCAAACTTACCAGCCACTTCTTGGAAACCCTATACAGGGTTGCTGTGAGTTGGACTCAACGGCACTAACAACAACAAAGCTCTCTCTGGGCAGTGTTTCATTCTGTTGTACGTAGAATCACTGTGAGTTGGAACCAACTCAAACTATCATCAAGTCCTCTTTAAAATAAAAACCACGTTCTTATTTTGTGATAGTATAACAGTACAAAGGGGCTTCAGAAAGTTCATGGAAGAATGGAATGAAAAGATAATGAAATTTTCAGTGACGTTTTTGAAGCCTCCTTGTAGGTGTCTGCGTATTCTAATGCAGTATTTGAATAGTCAAACCCTGATGGTACGTCATAGATGTGCTGGCATATTACTTTAATTGAAGGTGAAAATATGGGACAGGCAAATAAGTTGCCTAAGAATCCTGGTAGCATAGTGGGTTTACTCATTGAGCTGCTAACAGCAAGGTCAACAGTTCGATTCCTCCAACTACTCCAACGGAAAAAAAGATGAGGCTTTCTGCTCCCATAAAGATTTACAGCCTCAGAGAACCCTATATAGGATCACTATAGTCAGAACCAGCTCCATGGCATACCACCACCCCCACCATGTTGTTCCCTACTGTCAAGTCAACTGTGATTTGACAGTATAACTTTTTCCTGGTCTTGCATCATTCTCATAATCAGCAGCATGGTTATGATTACAGGTTACCTTAATATTTATTTCTACAGTAAAATAACATTTTGAAGTTAGATTATGTTAGCAAGTAAGGGAAGAAACATATTTAGATAAAGGGCTAATTTTTTTTTTTTTAACTTTATGTTGTGAATAGAGTGAAGTAGTTTATAGAGAAGATCATCAGTTTTATAATCAACAATTCGTACATATCATTTCACCTTAAAGATTGCAATTCCCTCCATGCAACAACAGTTACCCCACTTCCTCCCTGTGCTTCTCATTTCCATTCCACCCTCTTGCTCATTCCTTCTCAACTTTGTCCTTAGGTAAATGCTGCCCTTTTAATCTTGAGTGATAGACCATTCTATGGTGAGCATATCTTACTAGTGTTACTGTCCCCCTTATATACCTATCTACTGAAAATTGGACCAGAAGGGTGGGCTCTATTTCAGACCTGAAGGGTGATTGGTGGTTATGTGCCCTGAAGTTGGTTCTGACTCATAGCAACTCTGTACAGGGTTTCCGAGGCTGTAAATTTTTACGGGAGCAGAAAGCCTCATCTTTCTCCCGCAGAAAGTTTCGAACTGCTGGCCTTGAGGTTCACAGCCCAATTCATACCCACTGTGCTACCAGAGCTCCTTTTAGGAGCCATAATGTCAGGTTCCTCCACTGTCTTTCTAACCAATAAGCCTTTGCATAGAATAAAAGAGGCAGTCATTCAAACAGAACAAGGGATACTCAATGATTTAAAATAAGGAAAAGTGTCTGTCAGAGTTGTATCCTTTCACCATACTTATTCAGTCTGTATGCTAAGCAAATAATCTAAGAAACTGGATTATATGGAGAAGAGCATGGCATCAGGATTACAGGAAAACTCGTTAACAACCTTCATTAAACAGATAACACAGCCTTGCTTTCTGGAAGAGAAGACTTGAAGATCAGAAACTACAGTCTTCAGTATGGGTTGTACCTCAATGTAAAGAAAACAAAAATTCTCACTTTTGGACCAACAAATAACATCATGATAAATGGAGAAAAGATTGAAGTTGTCAAACATTTTACTTTACTTAGATCCACAATCAGTGCTCATGAAAGCAGCAGTCAAGAATTCAAATGATGTATTATTGCATTAGGCAAATCTGCTGTAAATGACTTCTTTAAAAGTATTAAAGAACCATAGAAAGCTTGTAAGTCTGTCTTCTGCCTATAACTGATTGGAATACTTAAAATGGGGCTACAACGTGTCCAGTGAAGCAGGCTTCCTGCAGAGCCTCTGCATTACATAAGATCACAGGTGGATTCCTGAACCCCTTCCAGAATCTTCTGAGGTGGGAAATTTCTACTTGAAAGGACAAGCAGACCACTCTGGAGCGGCTAGAAGAACAGAAGATACTTCTTGAAAGAGAGATTACAGGAAAAATACAAGTTACAAAATTACAAAAAAAGTCCGACTGACTACTATAAGAACAAGCAAGTTGCTCGCCCAGGAGACATCAAGAAAAGTGGTTGGGTCCCTGCAGGGCAAACCCCCTTCCAAGACTGAGACTCAATGGGAATACACGAGCAGACACATGCTCTGACTGGTGACAACATTAGTCACCGATAAGAGGAAGCGAGGGAAAAGCAGCAATGAAGCTGTGAGCTAAGTCCAACCATGTTCAATAGACTCCTGTGAACCCAGGTGGAGACCTGATGGCCAGCAGTTTGGCAAGACCTGGGGGAGTCCTGGGCCCTGAGTGAATGACATACCTACAGAGGACTAGTGTTGAGGGTGAAGCATCCAGCTGATAAGAAGAGAGGGCATATGCATAAGTACACCCACACTTGCAGATAATACCCACTTGACCTGGCTTCAATGACTGGATGATCAGAGCTCATCTAAAAGAAGAAAGAAGAGGAAAAAAAGAGTAATCTGATACAGTTTGATGAACTTGACCTATACCTGTGGATGCAGTAGCTCAAAAGAGGGAACAAATCTTTACACGAGGATTATTCCCACCCCCTCAATACACAGGGTAGACAGGGATGGGCAACTTGGATATTGGCCAAAATGTGTGTGTGTCGGGGGGGGGGGTGCTACAAAGGCAAGAAATGACTGGCTTACAAGCTTTCAAGAGGGAGTCTAGATCCAGAGGGCGTGGAGGAAGGAAGGAAGAATCTCCACTGAGTAGGATCCAGTCTGTCTGGGTGGGACTGATGAAAAGAGATGTGGATAGCACTCATGTGGTTCAGTGGTGAATAATTGCTATCAGGACTGACTGTGAGGATTGGAAATGTAAAGGTAAACGTTTTGTAGCAAAAAGGAGGGGAGTGGTTGACTTTGTAGTCCAGGAGCAGAGGAACCTGGGACCATCAAGGGAGAAGAGCAGAGTATGGGACCCTACCCAGAGAAACAGTGATGCCAGAGATGGAGTCCAAGACGATGACATGGAGAGATGGAACAGCTGGGAACTCTAGACCCAGAGAGGGAGAGGGGCTGTGTGCTGACGACTGGGGGGTCAGGCTTGCGGGGTGTACCATTTGGTTGATTGATGATGCAGGGAGGAGATTGTAAACATGGCAATGAAACGATGTATGATAGGATGAATGTAAAGATAATGTTCACCCATGTAAACTATCATATAATTCACAATAAAACATTTGAAATAAAAGTGTTCAAGAGCAAAGATGTCATTTTGAAGACTAAGGGTGCCTGACCGACGCCTGGTATCTTCAGTCACCTCATATGTATGTGAAAGCTGGACATTGAATAAGGCCGGCTGGAGAAGAATCAATACATTTGAATTGTGGTGTTTGGGAAGACTTGAGTAATCTATGGACTTTTAGAATCAGTTTTGGAAGAAGTACTGCTGGATTGCTTGTTGAAAGTGGTGATACTGAGACTTCATCTCTTATACTTTGGGCATATTATCAGGAGGAACCAGTCCCTATAGAAGGATACCATGCTTGATAAACTAGAGGGTCACTGAAAAACACCCAACAACAACAATAATACCAAAATTACTACAAAGAACCTTTGCCCTTTATTAAAACACACCAGCATCATACAGCATTGTACTCTTTGAACCGAGGTAGAAATTTTATCTAAGTGGTATTTTACTAATTGCTTTGTTCACCCTTGTCATCTTGCATCTCAAAAATTCTTTACATTGAAGAGTCATCCACAAACAGTGTCTCTATTATAATAGCAGTAGTTATTGTACTTGACTAATTCCTGACACCTTTCTCTCATTAATTCATATTTACTTCTCCATGTCCTGTCCATTCTTCCTTTGCCGTATTATATTCATCCCGTCCGTCCTTTCACTTTACCTTTATCCCTTTCTTAACCTTTCTCGGTTATATTCATATTACTCTAGTTGTCTCTCTTTAAGCTTAAAGTCATTTATATGATCTGATTCTAGCCTGCCTGTCTCAATTTATTTTGCCTTACTTCCCTACTGTGACACTTGTTGTTAAGTGCTGTCGAGTCAGTTACAACTCATAGCGACCCTGTATAGGGTTTCCGAGGAGCAGCTGGTGAACTTGAACCGCCGACCTTGCAGTTCAAATGGCTTTGCAGTCTGGCACTTTAACCCACAGCGCCACACCAGGACTCCTACTGTAACTGTAACGCTTAGTGCTATTTAATTTTGTTTTTTTACTTTCACTGCTACATAAGCTGTTCAGTTTGAAGCCCATTTCTCATTATGGGTGTTTTTGTTTTTACTTACACAAAATGTTTTTACTATATATTATCTTTACTAACAGACATCTCCAGTTTTCATTGTGCTTGCTTTTCTTTAGTGTCACCTGCTTCTTTCACATACTATTAACACCTAAGTATAGTATGTGTTATATAATATCCATATGTTCTGTGATTGTGTGAACACCATGTTAAATTCTTAGGAGAGGCTGCTTTGGATTGCCCTTCTCGTTGCCACCACTGCTGCTGCTGGAGCTACTGGAGGAGGCAGTGGGAACAGGCGCCTTCATTGTGATGACATGGTAGAGAGCCACAATGGAGCAAAAAGAAACAAGTGGGGAGGGAGCAGAGACCTGTGCCCTGAGCCATGTCTTCTGTCTCACTTACCTGTCTCCCACAGTCCTGTAAAATTCTGGGTTCGAAGTCACTAAAACAATTAAGGAAAAATAATGAACAAAAGAGGGCTGCTTTCCCTTAAAAACAAACCAAAAAACACTTACGGGACCATGGACATACATGTGGTTAGATGTTGCCATAAAAGCACATTTCTACTTAAGATTTTACATATTTATAATTTCTCTACTGATAAAATATATTCTAATAGGCAGGAGATTGTTTTATATTAAAAAATATGTAATTATTGGTTTAAATGGATATTATAATTTATAGCAAAAGAGTATTATTTAAAATTACTTTCATTATCTGCATTTGTTAACAGTTCTTAGTATTACATATTCAGATGTTTATTTTGTTTTAAATAAACTTGGGCATAGTTTTTTTATTTGTTGAAGTTAGGATTTGCTACTTTTTAAAAAAAACTTTTTGTGAATTGAGTAAGTTTACAGACAAGATCATCAGCTTTATAGCCAACAAAATAACATGCTTTGTTTCATATCAGTGATTGTAGTCTCCTCCCTGCAATAACAGTTATCCTACTTCCTCCCTGTGACTCCTCATTTACATCTCATATTTCACAAATGAAGAAAAATTATTTTGTGTACACATACAAAACAAAAAATAAATATTCACTTAAATGTCCAAAGGACACAATCTGCAAACTTGCATCCTGTCCATAGGCACACAGCCTTAACCAGTCTATGGGCCTAGAACCCACACCTGCTCTGTCTTTCCATGCCACCATCTCTGCTGTCACCTCTTTTCTAGGTAGGGATCTCACGCTCCATACATGTTCTTCCATCTTGATGGTCCTATGATCATCACTTGCTGAAATAATTAACTACTCCCCCACTTTTAGTTACACATCTTCTATAATTACAGTCATGACAATCACAATTCATCCTGCTAACAACTACTCACAGTCGAATCTTAAAATCCTATCACCATCATCCCCCAACCCCTTTCACTAGATGCATCTGGATAACTATTCAGTGAGGATTCTACCTTATCCCCCTTATTCTGAAACTAAGCACACTCATAAAAACTTATAAGCTAGCCACTTCATGCCTTTATGTTGTTGTTGTTAAGTGCCTTTGAGTCAGTTCCAACTCACAGTGACCCTGTATAGTGTTCGTGAGGAACAACTGGTGACCTTGAACCACTGACCATACATTTCAAACTCATCTTGCAGTCCAGCGCATTAACCCACAGCGCCATACCAGAACCATCATCCCTTTGTTTGTTGTTGTTAAATGCCATCGAGTCAATTCCAACCCACAGTGATCCTGTATAGAGTTTTCAAGGAGCAGCTGGTGAGCTTGAACCACCGACCTTGCAGTTCAAACAACTTTTCAGTCTGATGCATTAACCCACAGCGCCACACCAGGACTCCTTTGTAGTCCCTATTATTGATAGCCAATGTCTAAATTGTCTGTTCCTATCAACCCAGTACACTGAGGAATCAAGCTTGTTCCTTGATATCAAGAGTCCTTCTGTTCTGGTTGGAATTTTGAATATCTGCATCCATAAGGAAAAGTTCAGTTCATCAAATGTAGCAATTTACATTATTTCACAGTATCAGACATTTTTATCTTCACCTGGTTGAATTCTTGTAAGCTATCCATCCAAGCTAGGTAAAATGGGTACTAGCTGCAAGTTTGGGAGTTCTTGAACACCTCCCTGCACTTCAGATCAGCTGGCCACTTCACTCTCACCCCCCCCCCCCAGGGGCTAGCTCAGTTCTCATGGGCTCAGGAGTCCACACATCTCCCTAAACTTCAGACCAGTCATTCTTTCTCTCAAGTCAACAGGTACGTGTCAATAGAACATGATTTGTCACTTTCTAATAATCAATATTTGGATTTTGCTTGCTAGTTATGATTCAGTATTATATGAAACAGCCAGTTGCATTTGAGTTGAGAGGAGTCCTTGGGTGGCACAGTTAAGTACTAGGTTTACTAACCAAAAAGTTGGCAGTTTAAATCCACCCAGAGGTACCTCCAAAGAAAATCATGATGGTAGACTTCTGAAAGGTCATACCCATTAAATACTGTGGGAAGCACAATTCTACTCTGAAAATTGGTTTTGTGTTTTGTGATGGTGAAAGAGTAGTAGATGTTTCCTAGTAATGATGCCATGTGAAAAAAGTACTTACATTAATTGAGAATAGTTTTATAGAAACATTTTTAACATCCTGTTCAATTCTCTTTTAGTTCATCATTCTTGTTGTTGATAGCATTGACAGAGAGCGACTAGCTATTACGAAAGAAGAATTATACAGAATGTTGGCTCATGAGGTAAAACTCTGAAAGATTGAAGCATCTGCACTGATTTTGCTCTTTTACTAAGATTAATGTCTTAGAATGCTAGTTTTCTCATTAACAAAATTTTAGATGTTAAATTGATTAAAGTCATGAAGTTAATTTTCACTACTTTTTCAAACAAAGAAACTAACATGTTAATTTGTAGTCTACTGTTTTGAAAAAATTTTTTTAAAACTACTTATGCATGCTTTTAAAAGAAAGTATGAGATTTAATTGAGGTAAGAAAGGGAAAAACTTAAATGTTTTCCCCTCAATTCTTATATAACTGAAAATTCTGTAAGTAATTTAAAATCTCTTAATTCTGAAATCCTTTAGATATACAAAAACTTAAGCAATAAAACATTTGTGTACTCATCATTCATTCTAAGACACATATATCTCATGAGACCTTTCCAGTATGACTTCCTTCCTTTGGTTATCTGAGATATTCACTATCATAAAAGTAGTCTTTGTCATATATGCTTAATTTTGTACTTTTACTATATTATCCATAAATTATATAGACTTTGATGTTCTTAAAACTATATAAAAAGTGTCACTCTATGCATACTTTTCTATAACTTACCTTTTTTTTTTTGTACCACATTGAGGTTTATCCTTGTCCTTACTTTTAGTTCGTCCCTTTAAAAAATTATATCATTTCCCACTGTGTTTGAATATGTCTAACAGTTGATCTGTTCTATTAATGTGAACATGTAGGTTTTTAAATTTTTTTTAATAGTATAAACTCTGCTGCAGTAAACACAGTCAATAAGTTTAGCATATAAAGAGCATTATTAGGTAGTAAGTTTTGGCTCAGCATCTCGACACCCACATAGCGTATTTGAAATTATGTTGAAATTTAGTATTAGAATATTGCTCATACAGTTTTAAATCAATATTTATGATTCAGGTTTTATGTTATTTTTAGTTTGACTCAATAGTAGAAAAATTATCTGACATATGTTAATTTGTCTTTATTAGACTGAATCATTAAATCATAGTTATTGAAAAGTTTTTCCAATAAGTTTTGAAATTAAATGCTAGTGCCTAATCATTTCAAAATATAAGGATTTCATTATAACTTTCCAGCAGTGGATTTATTTGAATTATGACATTCTTATTGATTGTAGGATTTACGGAAGGCTGCAGTGCTTATCTTTGCAAATAAACAGGATATGAAAGGGTGTATGACAGCAGCGGAAATCTCTAAATACCTCACCCTTAGTTCTATTAAGGATCATCCATGGCACATTCAGTCCTGCTGTGCATTAACAGGTGAAGGGTAAGTGCTAATCACCCTCTAAGGAGGTATGACTTCTTTCAACCTTCTTCTTCCTCATTTTTAGACCAAATTGTCTGTTTTATCATACTTCCTCTTTTTTTTTTTTTTTGGCTCATAATTAAAGATGGTTTTAATATTTTGTCTCAGGTATACAAGTTTGAAATAATTTTAGTAAACAATTATGAACAAATTTTTTCTGACTTTTCATATGATCGTAATATTTTACCAAAAGGCATAACACACTTTTAAGTTTTCACAATCCAGTTTGTTGTTGTTGTTGTTGGTCCTTTCTTGTTTTTATCATGTACTAACTGGAAGGAAACTGGAATATCACTTGTATTAAAGAGACAGTTGTTAGGTGCCACCATGTCAGTTCCAACTCAAAGCTATGTAGCATGGTACTACAGTTGGTCCTGCACCATCCTCACGGTTGTTGTTAAGTTTGAGCCCATTGTGGCTACCGCCATGCCAATCTATATCCTTATGGATCTCCTTGTTTGTCACTAACCTTTTACTTGACCAACATTGATGTCTTTCGCCAAGGAGAAAGCATATAATTTAGTTAGCCCAGTAGAATCCAATGTGTTATATATTGATTGTCCAGTTTGTTTCTGAGAACTTCTTTATCCTCAAACCAACTGGACCTTCCTAGTATTTTGTTTTTGTTTTTTTTATTCTAATAATGGCTTGCAATATCATAGCTATGTTGGAGAGCCTTTTTGACCTATACTTTTGTTGTTGTTTTTTAATGTTTTATTGTGAATTATGTGATAGTTTACATGGGGAGAACGTTAGTTTTACATTCATCCTATCATATCATTTCATTGCTGTGGTTACAATCCCCTCCATGCATCATCAACCAACCAAAGGGTATACCCTGCAGTCCTGGCCCCCAGTCATCAGCACACAGCCCCTCTCTCTCTCTGGGACTAAAGTCCCCACTGCTCCATCTCTCCACGTCATCATCTCTGCCTCCATCTCTGGTGTCACTACTTCTCTGGGTAGTGTCCCACACTCTGCTCTTTTCCTTTGATGGTCCTGGGCCCTCTTCTCCTGGACTGCAAAGTCAACCACTCCCCTCCTTTTGCTACAAAACATCTACCTTTACATTTCCAACCCTCAGAGTCAGTCCTAATAGTAACTACTCACCATTGTGCCGCATGAGTGCTATCCCCACCTCCTTTCATCAGCCCTGCACAGGCAGATTGGATACTACTCAGTGGAAATTCTATCTTTCTCCATGCCCTCTGAATCTAGGTTCCCTTTTGAAAGCTTGTAAGCCAGTCACTTCTTGCCTTTGTAGCCCCGCATTTTGGGTAGCCAAGGTCCAAGTTGCCCAACCCTGTCTACTCCGTGTATGGAGGGATTGGGAATGATCCTTGCTGTAAAGATCTGTTACCTCTTTTGAGCTACTGCATCCATAGGTGTAGGTCAAGTTCATCAAATTGTATCAGATTACTCTTTTTTTCCTCTTCTTTCTTCTTCTAGTTGAGTTCTGACCATCCAGCCATTGTAGCCAGGTCAAGTGGATATTATCTGCAAGTGTGGGTGTTTTTGTGCATATGCCCTCTCTTCTTATCACCTGGATGCTTCATTCTCCACTCTAGTCCTCTGTGGCTGTGTCACTGACTCTGGGCCCAGGAGTCCCCAGGTCTTGACCTATACTTGTTATGATTGGGTCATAACTATTCTTTTCTTTAGAATTTAACAGGGCAAGGTAAAATGCCTGTTTTCTTTCCATAGTTGTTTCTGTTTTAGTTATGTACACACACAAAAAGGGAAGGGGTGTGACTATTTGCAGTCTTAGGGCAAAACTCCAAAATCTGTGCCTTAAGGTGAAATTGAAGCACTTTCTCCCATTATTCAGGTGATTAAGGTCATTTTATTTAAGTAAATCTTCCATTTAATATTGTCACTGAAGTGCGTAAGTTATGATTGGCATACCAACTTATAGGTAAAATTGAAAAATAGCAAGTATGATTTTAGTTCTTAAGTGAAAACCTTCTGATTTAGAAAGTCCTGATATATATATATATATAGAGAGAGAGAGAGAGAGAGAGACAGAGAGACAGAGAGAGAGAGTGTGTGTGTGTGTCCTGGTGTGGCGCTATGGATTAATGCACCAGACTGCAAAGCCATTTGAACTGCACGGTCACCAATCTCTATTTGGAAACTCCACATAGGGTTGCTGTGGGTCGGAACCGACTCAACGGCACTTAACAACAACTGTATATATATATAAATTTTTTTTCTTTTTTCAGATTGTGTCAAGGTCTAGAGTGGATGACTTCCAGAATTGGTGTGAGATAACTTTTTTGCTTGAAAGAGACTGATCTATTTATTCTGTGAACATGAACATTATCTCCTGGTACTGTTGCTAAGGCAGCAGCATGTTTAATTTATAACAACACAAACCTCTATGAGCGACACTTGAATCAAGTGCAGCTGAACTGGAACATAAAAGAGTTTTTCTTACCTTTTTTTTTAATGCACTAATCTTCAGTTGGATGAACATAATGTATAACTATGTTTTCAGCAACAAAATTCTTCTGACTGCTTATTCTAATTATTCAATGATTGCCTTGTAAGAAATGTCACATGTTTAATGTTTTCTGAAGTATTGTAATAATCCTAATGACCAGTTTCTTTCATTTATTGAACCTCCTCCCCCAGATAATTAGTGGATTAGCAAAGTAGTAGTGAAAATCATGAGGTATATTCTTGCAAACATCTCTAAATATCTGATCCCTCTCTATAAACCACTTATCTTTTGGACAGAACTTACATGCAGAGGGAAAAAAATCTGCCTACAGGGTATATAAGAAAGATTAAATATCATGAGAATTTAATTTTAAATTAGTAACCCCACATTGCAGGTCGTAGAATAAATAAGTTGCTATTTGCTTGGAAATCAAATAGGTTATTAATTTACTTAAAAGAATTAAGGTTACTCTTCTGCCTGTGAATTGGGAAATGGGAAAATGTAAATATGTCGTCTTGTTCAAATTTGATAAAAAATTCATCGAGATAAACAATTTATTTGAAAGTAAATTGGTAAGTTTTGATGGTAAGTTTTTTTGGATATATCTGATATTTTTAGAATGTCATATTATCCAAGGCACTTATAGGAAGTTACTAAAGTGTACCAATACTAAAATTAAAACAAGACACCTGGAATATATTTTATTATCAATCACAATTTTAACAACTGAAAGTTCTTCACATTTGCAAGAGATAGCATATCTGTTGGTACTGTTTTGGCCAATAGCTAAAGCAAAAGCAGAAACAGTTATTATTTCTTAAAATTCAAAAATTATGTGTCTGTAGTAGCATTTCTACCACCAGCAGTATGTTACTTAAAATATCATGTGGCTTTCATTAAATCTACTTGAAATTTTAATGTAACAGGCTTGAGGCAACTGCCATGCTTATAGTTATACTTCATATTCTAAAATCTGTAATTACATTAGAGACAACTGCTAAATTTAATTCTTGTGTTTAGAATATTATTATGAGAATCAAAGTTATCACAAACAGTTTAAAAGTTAAATTGTAAAAGAAAACTCAAATCAACAGTCTATTGGATAGCAGTAAAACATTTTTGAGACAGTGTCTAATCCAAACAGAACCTAAACATCGCATGCATTCAATGGAAAGGGAGGACAGTATTCTAATTTCAATTCTATTTATTTTAAGTGTGAGGTTTTGCTATAATGAAAGGGATAAAATGCATACTTAGAAAATAATACTTCGTTTTTGCAGTATTTTTTGTTTTTAATTTGGGTCAGAAATAAGATTCAGTGTTCAGAAGAATATCAGAATACCTTTTCAAAAGTCATATTTGAATATTTTTGTATGTAAATTGATTTAAGATTTGCCTTGTTTTTAGGTGTATTGGGTGTGTTGTATCTAGTTTAATGTGGTCACAGTCTTCTGATTTCTGTTCAGTGTTAGCACATCTCAGAACTGAAAAGTCGGACGGAGTAAAGCTTCCTGGACTTTGAGACCTAGTTGTTTGACTTTGTTTTGAACTTTTTTCTTGTTGATTCTATACCAGATAGAATATAAGGTTTTTGTGTGTGTGTTTTTTAAAAACATAGACCATAATCAAGAAGATGTGAGAAAAGCAGGTGTAAATTAATATGGGTGCTTTGTGGTTTGTGGGAATGGCAAGAAAGGAAAATTCTGAAAATACCATTGACATAAAGCACACTTTTAATTTTTATCTTGGATTTGTATAGAGTAGTACTGAGGAGAGTTCTCTAAGTCTGTTTTTAAAAAAGCATATTCAGTATGCATTCTTATTATAAAATGATTATCTGCCTTTTTGTATCTAAATACGATTGGCTGGCTCAATTTTCTTCTATGAACTATCTGCTTATTTTTTATATTACCACATCAGCATTATATTGAAAGTGTTTTTAATAGTTGTATTTTGTCAAACAACTACTGGTTATAGACTCAAATTTGCTATTTAATTTTTAAAATGCAGTTTATTTTCTGAATTATTTTTTAAACCATGCATGTTAATTTTAAATTAGGAATGATTTATGCTAATTGTGTGTTGAAGATGAACTTGGCACCCAACTAGATTTTGTGCCAGTGATTGGTAAAAGTTCAGTGAGGAAATTTATGTAAGACTTTTTAAAAGTATTCTGTAAGTTCTCATTATATATTTTCTGTTACAGTAATATGGAAACCACTATCATTTACTCCAAGAGAATGTTTTATCCCAGCCAAGTATCTAATACTTTATAAAGCATTAATTCAGTCATTTATTTTAGATCAAATATATTAGCTGATGAAAAAAGATAAATTTATAATTGATTAGTGCCTTTATTCCGATTTTTAGATAAGTTCCCAATTGGGTACAATACCTGTTTCGCTTAACAAGCACATTTATTTAACAGTGAAATGACTTGCGTTTCACCCTCCCCTTCAACTTACTATTTTTCTAGCAAAGTTTATAATAAGAAGTAGAAAGCAAGCACCTCTGGAGATGGCTCTATATTTTGCTTTTTTAAGTTCAGAATGAGGAAGTTGAATTTTAACTGAAATCTTTCAAATATATTATTAAAACTAAAATGTAATACTCCTACTCTTTTAACTCCCATTATGGCAATTGAAATTAAAGAAAGTTTGAACATGTTACTTTCTTCATGCTTTAAACCCATCATTCTTAACTGAAGCCTTTTGGGAATTCTTCGTGTCTAACATAACAGGCCTTTTGACATGTAACTATAATTGCATATTTTGAATTGTTAATATAATTCCTTGAAACCTGAAGTGTATATAATGTATCAAAAAAACTAAAGAATAAATACATAACTTTTGCTTTTAGGTCCTTGTGTTAGTAGTATTTTAAAGGTATTATCACTTATATTTTATATTCATTAGAGGAAAAATAAATTCAAATGCCATTACAAAAAAGAATTTTGAAATGGGTCTCACCACTATAGCTGTAGTTACTTTGATTAAGCATAATTTAGCCATCAGTATCTAACATAAAGTGAAAAGAATTATTTTTCCATGGAAATAGTGAATGATACAGGCATTGTTGTAAGCAGTATGCTGACAAGAGTTATGGGAAGTCCCAAAGCAAAAGAAAACAATAAAAACTTTTTAATTTTTTTGGCCTTTTTGTGTATTTTAGGAAAAATTATAAACAGAATTGTTTCTACTAGCATTCTCATTTATTCCTTAACTGAATGAAACCATATCAGTAGAAAAATGTGCGGTTATTATGACCAGATAGGTAAATTTCATTGGCATTTAACTTTGGAGACCAACTTTATGAAGCTAACTTTTCATCTACTACTTTGGAACCAAAAAAAGCTTCTCAGTTCAATTTTAATGGATCATCTACAGTTTTTTCAGGAGTAATGTCACTTCGAGATGTAGAAAGGTGTATTAGAATATTGTACTGACTATTTAAATCTTAATTTGATAGTTAATTGTCTTCTGACTTTAGATCATTTATTTACTGCTCATTGGCTTCCTTCTTGTTTTTTGTATTTTGTTTTTTCCTCTACTGAAGAACCTAAGCAAAAATTAGAAAATCCAGGAAATATTAAGTAAAGACATGTAAATTAAATCCATTTTCCTCTATTATTTTATTTCTACAATGTGCTCAAACATAGCAGTGATTATGAGATAGCACAGGACTGGGCAGTGCTTCATTCTCCACTTATCCTTTAGTTTAGCATGTGAACACAATCAATAAAAATGTATCAGTTATTAACTGGCATTCAATTTAAACTAATAGCTAATGACAACACACACACAAAAAGCCATATGCTAAGAAAATGTGATGTTGCTTTTTATGCACCAGTATGTATGGTGGAAATACTGTCTTCTAGTATATTTACCTTACTCATCTTGCTGGCATCTACTACTTGGATGGAAGTGCTTAGTTTGTTCAGGTACCACCCCAACCTACAATTCTGTTTGACTTGATAATATTGCAAGTTCAGTATAGCAATGATATCAATTTACAAATGTCTGTATAAATCTGAAAGTGGTTTGTTGTCCAGGCTCGTTTTTTCAGTTGTCCCATATCCATTTAGTATTAATATGAATTCTGAAATCCAAAAGCTAGATTCCAAAAAGAGTATTTTTGTAAGTGTTTCAGGTGACCAAAGCTGAACAGAAAGGCCAATAAAATACAAAAACCGTTTGTTCAACAGATCTACAGACTGCTTTAAGTGTTATGTATTTTGTTGACATGTTAATTTGGAGGCTTAGAGGCACATCCAGAAACAAAGGCAAAGACAAAAATGGGGTGTAACCTTAGAAAGGTTACTAGATAATAGAACATTTGAATGAAAACCATGCATTACCCCCCATTTAATGCACTTAAAATTACTGAAATATACAGTCTTCTGCTGTACAATTCAGTAACCTCTGACCTTTTTCACTAATCACAGAACATGAAGACTGATTGTTGTTAAGTGCTGTCAAGTCTGTTCCGACTCATAGTGACCCTGTCTGTAAAGGGTTTACAGGGAGTGGCTGGTGGGTTTGAACCACTGACCTTGTCGTTAGCATCCAGTGCTTATCCTATAGCACCATACCAGGACTGCTGATTAGGTTGTAAGAATTTGGAATTGTTGTCACATAGATACAGCTTTTGCTTTCTGTGGGTTTTTTTTTTTAACTCATAAAGCTGCAGTTTGCCCTGTAGATAAGGAACTAAGCATTTTTTGCATGTGCTTTGGAATAGAAAACAGAGTTCTGAAAGAGTGAATATGATCTTTTGCACAAAGATTTTAATGAAAAATTACCTCATTTATCATAAATACCCTCTCCACTTAGACTCTTCACTTGAAATATACAAAATTTACAATTAGGAGACAGGATTCCTTGGGGGTTTTGTTTTTAATTCTTTACAACCAGCAGGACTAACATGGCATATCAGAGTCACATGTGGTCGTCATTGAAGCAAATGGGCACCTGCTCAGTTTAATTAATTGGTTTAATTAAGTAAGAGAATGGGAAAATTCTAAAATGTGATTGATTACATTATACTCTATTTCCATCAGTGTTGGTGAGCTATGGAATGGCTATTAGTTGATCTTGATTACTTATAATTTATTTGTATGTTTCACTCCCATTCTGAAGAAAGACTATATTTTAATCTTAATTTTCCTTTAGAAAATTCAAGGACTCTGCAGTCCTGTTTGTTCTCTTGGAGTAAACTGTTCAATGTGTTGTAGTTATGGCAACTTTTCTATTTTAATTAAAAAAAAAAATTAGCTTCTGTTATTTCATTAAAAGCATGAAATTAAAATGATAGATAAAATTTTCTTTCCACTGTGTAAGAGCTCTACTTTGTACCCTGTTCATCTGTTCCACAGAGCACAGTTTTAAAAACAAAGCAAAGAAACAACCGCAAATACTAAGAACAGAGCTTTGCTCTTGCATTTATTCTAATCAGGATATAATGATTATAATCACACATTG